TCTGTATTGCTTCTGTTTCACCTCTTTGTAAGTAGGCGAATGGCTGCATTTCGTTTCTGGAATTTTTAAAAAAATACTCAACTTTTCATTTTCGACATTTTATAGTTTTCATTTCTGACATTTCACAGTTTTCATTTCCGACGTTTATCATAAAGCACTTTCCCGACAATGAAAACAGAATTGAAGACTTTATTTTAAAGAATAAACCAAGAACAAATCATTGATATCCAACATAAATTCAGCACAGTCACTGACATATAATTCAGTAGACATTATTCAATTTAGTTAACAAAAATTGCAAACTCTTTTAATTAACTCAAACAAAACTTTTAATTAGACTTAGAGCTGCATGGACAGTGTATTGTAATATTTTTATTTGAAAAATGTGGTTTGAAATAAGTGTAATCTTTATATTTTGTTAAAATTTTATTTCCACCTACTTAGTTAACATTAAATTGCTGGAAAGGTACCTCTAAATTTTCTGGAAATGTAAAAATATACGTCAGTAATGTAAATAAAAATTGTCGGATATGCAGTGCAAAATTCTGGAAATGAATGCAGCTGGGGAAATTTACTATGGGGCAAATTCAAAAAAGACAGCATCATCTCTTAAATACAACTGTGTCTGGGAAATTTAAAATGGGGCAAAATTGTTTGCAAGTGTTATAGGGCAAAAATAATCCTGTATACAGTATCCTTATGATCAAAATTACTTTAAACTTGGAATATGCAACATGGATAACATTGAGTTTTACAAATTCAGGGAATGTAAAGCCAGAGTGCCAGTACATGTAACTACTCTCAAGAAAATTTGTATCTGTTCTTATATTTATAAAAAGATTCATCTAAAAAATAATAATAATAAAAAAAAAAATAAATAAAGATACAAAATCAGGAAATCAAAAGTCATTGTCATGGGGGATGTTAATTAGTTTAAAATTGTTGGTGCAATCAAAATTCTTGATGTATACCTTAATGTTCTTTTATTGTGAAAGAACTTCCGAATGAAGTAAACACAAAGATGTTGTGCAAGATATGTTCATAGAAATCAAAATGCAAAACACAAAAAACAAAAGGATTAATGAGCAAATAAACTGAGAAATGAAAGACAGGCATGAAAAATCCAGATCACAAGTTCTCCTTTTTTACAGCAAATTCAGAAATTATAGCCTCAAATGTATTCAGTTCATCTAAGAGTGTTATCCAAAATGAACAAACAGTTAACTTTCGAGTAAACATTATGGACTACTTGGGTGGAATTCAACAGAATTTCTATAATTAGACATTGGTTATCTTCTTGTTTCTTAATGAAGTCCTAAATTCTCACAAAGAAAAAATATACACCATAGTTTTCTCTTTTTGGAACAGAGGTCATAACCCGTTGGTGCCGTACTCCAGATCATGAACTAGGTTGAAAACCCAACCCCCCCCTTCCCAAAGTTGTCCACAAATCAGGGAATAAAAAGCCAACAACTTTATTTTTCATTCTTACAAAGTTCAATCAAGTTCAGCACCTAACGATGCATCTAGTAATACAATATCAGCTGACCGACTAACAACCTCCGAGTCTCCATTAACAAATACGTGGTTTCATCTGAAGTGACTGGGTGCATCGTATGATGGCCTTAACAAGATATAGACACCACATAGTCTAAATGACTTTGTTCATGAACAAAATGGCACAATGTCAGTCTCCATCAGATGCTGGATGAAACAAGACGAAGGCAGAGAGAACAGGTAATGACAATGGTTTTCAGAACCATTACATTGACTTGATTTAGGTAATTACTGCTATATTACAAAGAGCTTTTTTGTCTGCTAATTGACTGACACATTCGACTTGTATGACATTAGAGAAGATTCTACCTATTAAATGACATGATGTGAATGATAAAGCATCATCAGCTTATCCATTTACATTTGATTTTTTTTTTACTTTGTCATATATTATGCTGTTTTATAACACATTGATGCTCACAGGTCACAATGCTCACCTGCACTTTTTTTTCTTTTACCATTAAGATTTAAACTTCAAATATTGTATATACTCTATAATAAATCTGAAACACACTAAGCTTTTTTCTTTGTATTTTCAACATCATATTAATTTGTTGAAAAACTTGATTTTTAATTTATGAATACAAAGATGTAAAGAGAGGATTTTTTTAAGGATCCCCCCCCCCAAAAAAAGGCCATGGGCCACATCACTCACCTGAGCATAATTGCTAAGAAGAAGCAGAAATCAGTTCAATATTGAAAAGTTTTTGTGGGAGGGGGAACAAACTTAAATTTACACTACCCAAGGATGCTTCCATGTCAATATTACTAATCATGGCTTTGCTGTCTTAGAGCAGAAGAATTTTAAAGGTTTTCCCCCTAATATATTCCTTTGTAAAACTCTGATCCTTCATTGTTGCCCCACCCTACCCTACCTAAATTTGAACAAATTTAAATCTACACTAATGAGGATGCTTCTAAATAATATGACTAATCACGGCTTTGCTGTTCTTGAGCAGCAGATTTTTTCAAGATGATTCCCATATATTCTTATGCAAAACTCTGACCCTCTGATGTGACCCACCTCAACCCCTGTGGGGACAAACTTAAATTTACGCTACCTCAGGATGTTTCCATATCAATATTACTAATCATGGCTTTGCTGTTCTTGAGCAGGAGATTTTTTCAAAATGATTCCTATACATTCTTATGTAAAACTTTGACCCTCTGTGGTCCCTTTCCAATCCCTGAGGGGTCATTATAATAATTTGAACAAACTTGATTCTACAATACCTAAGGTTGCTTCTGTATAAATATGACTAATAATGGCTTAGTTAATCTTGAGAAGAAGATTCTTAGAGATATTTTCTACATAACGTGTATGATCAGGTACTTAAAAGGGATATATAGGTTTTCCTTTTACTCAAGATATTACCTAAAACTTTGGCCCCAGTGTTGTGCCTGCACCCAACCCCCAGGGGTCAAGATTTGAACAAATTTAAATCTACACTATGTGAAGATACTTCTATATTAATATGACAAATAATATCTTAGCTGTTCTTGAGAAGAAGATTTTTAAAGATATTTCCTATACATTCCTATGGTAAACTATAACCCCCTGTTGTTGCCCTGCCCTTCCCCATGGGGATATGATTGGAACAAACTTGAATCTACACTACCTGAGGATACTTCTGTTATAATAATATGACTAATCATAGCTTTACTGTTCTCACGAGAAGATTTTTAAAGACATTTCCTATATGTTCCTTTGTAAACCTTTGACCATTTCTTGTTGCCTGGCCCTACCCCTTGGGGATATGACATGAACAAATTTGAAGCTTTCACATAAGTTTCATCTTTTTTTGCCCAGTGGTTCTTAAGAAGATTTTTAAAAGATGCCACCAAATTTTCACGAATTCTTAATTATCTCCCCTTTAAAGAGGGCACGGCACTTCCTGTGAACAAACTTACATTCCCTTTGACTAAGCATATATTAGGGTTTGGTTAAAATTGACCCAGTGATTCTTGAGAAGAAGTTGAAAATGTGAAAAGTTTACAGACGATAGACGGATGTCAGCCACTCTTTGATCAGAAAAGCTCACTTGAGCTTTCGGCTCAGGTGAGCTAAAAATTAATAAAGAACTTAAAAGTTTTAAACTGGTACCTTCTTGGATGACATTCATCTCATGGTCAAAATTAACTTTTACTTTACAAAGTAAATTGGTTTTAATATATTGAAGGATGTATTTATACCCCTGCTTTTTAAGCCAGGGGTATAACAGTGTACATTAAGTATTATATTTAGCACATACGATATTTGGCGGAAATTAATTTTTGAACAAGTTAGCAGAGATTTGATTAGAAATAGCACATTTCTTAATGTTGTTATTCATGTGTATAAGTGCAAGACATTTAGTGAATTTAAGCATTTAGTTGCTTTCCATCAAGGTACTAAAAAGAATACACAGCCAAATGTAATATGTAATAAGAAGAATTTGCTTCAAAACAGTAAAGAGAAAGGAGAATTCGTAGAACTTTTTTTTTTTTTAACACGAGTGGAAGAAAGATAACCAATTTTATGTTCATTTAATAGCTCTAGACAAAGTTTCATGCTGGGCAGATTACTTTGAAACAATACAAAACGATAATGAATTTCCAACAAACTCCCACAGAGCAAATGTACTAGGTCAAAAAAAAGAAATTACTCGTCTTCGGGAAGCCTGATTTAAAGACAATGAAAATAGCTGTAAAAGAAATTGAATAACACGTTTGATGTATCTTTTTGTAGAACACCAAAACAACATCAAAATTTGTATTATAATGCATTCTGACAGTTTAATGTTTAAAAACATATTATTTGTCATTCATAGCATTCATAAAATACATGTATTCTTAACGGTATCAAAACTTTCCCGATAAAAAATCCATTTATCTGGCCAGAAACACATATTCATTTTAATTTCAGAACCTTGATTCATGTTCAGAGTGAAACAGGGTAAATCTAATGTTATTAATAAAGGCACATAAATATGCCATATTTCACAACTTTGTTTTTTGCCATAATTACACCAGTTAATTCGCTATTTCTAATAATCCCCTTTTCCTTCACAATAAATCAAACTGACATATTGATCCCAGAAAAAAACTTAATCTGTACAATATCAAGAGTAAGAAGGTTGTATACAAATAAAAAATATCCTTGACAAGTACCACCTACCAATTCTACTGCAGTGACAGGAGAGTGCTAAAAAGGGGAGGTAACTTTGACTTGTCCATCATTGAATTTACATGCTATGCTTCCCATCACAGAAACACCTGTCAATCAATACTTGGTAAATACTCCCAATCTCTTTCAAGGCAGTCAGCGATCAATTATAAATCTGTTCTCTCACTGCAAAAGTCATTCATTGGAGAAGCAACTTTTGTTCTGTTGTCATTGTAGTGCACTGCTCAGAACTTTATTAACTTGTCAACTTGTGAAAAAAAAATTCTCTCGATTAACAAGGAAAATTTGGTATTTTCACAAAGCTTAATTTTCGCAAACTTAATTTCAAGGATTTCTGCAATTACTTGTGATGTGTTAAAATATTAACTGTGATTTTAATTATCATCTAACGACACAAAAAAACTACAGTTACCTTACACACAAAGGAAGCCTATTATTCAATTACCACCCAACGCTAACCCAAAGAGATTTTAGTGACAACTAACACGGCTTATTTAATGAAGGAAATTATTTTTTTACGACCCTTCCCTACATCGTAACTTTTTGCAAGACATGACTCAAGTACATATTTTATTGAATCTACTCCACTTCTGACATCAGCAGCAACTAAAATTCCATGTTTTACACTCCGAAAGACTGACGTATGAGGGTATTAAAACTGGTCTACAACTGGTGGAAACATTTACGACAAGAAAGCAACGTTTTATTTATTTTTGTCGAAAATTTATTTCACATGTTACAGAGGGAGTAAAAAAGAAACCTGAAAACCCATATATTCTAAAATAGTTGTAGACACAGCTTGCAGGTACATAGGGATCTAATCTACAGCATCACAATTCAGAGAACTATAAAAGGGATTAATTCAGCTTGTTTAATTGAACTATTGCCACTAGATATCCGGTGCTGGATGCAGTAAAAATGGAGAAAACATCTCAATAAAAGACACTGAAAAACTAAGGCTGGAATATAAAGCAGGTGGGTAATCACGTGAAATTCTAATGTAAAATTATCACCATCCCTAAATCAATTTTTCTCTGAAAAACTCTATCAGCATGCATTAATGTTAGCAGAAGACAATTAACAATTTGTGTCTGCATGCTTACTGATGCAAGGTGTATTTTAGCTTCAAATAGATAAATTCACTAAAGCCTTTTTTCTTTCCTTCCAGAAAAGGTCGCTAAATTAAAGACGGGCAATCTTCACTGATCAGAGTGCCCTGTGGAAGAAATGACAATGTAGTTATGAAATCAATACTAGCCATGATTAATCTGTAGTCCACAATTTGGAGAGTGAGCATTGAAATTCCTGTGAAAAGAATTGGAAAAAAAAGTTCATCTTATAAAGAAGCTCAGAAGAAAAGAAATTAGTTCATTCCAAGAATGAAGATGACAAATTCTTCAAAAATGCCCAATCTGACATCCTCCTCTGAAGCTCAAATGCCATCATCTGAACAAAATTATGAACCCCGGGTTTCAGGAGCGGAATCCGAGTTGAAATTGCTGGAACTTCTGTTTCAGGTGTATCTTCCACCTGTTCTCATCATCCTAGGAACTGTTAGCAATTGTCTGACCATCTTCGTAATGAAAAGGAAAAACATCCGCCAGTGTTCCATTAGTTTTTACATTACAGCCTATGCCTGTAGCTCACTGCTTATGCTTTACCTCTTTCTGGGAACAGAGTGGATCACTAAAATCTTCAACCAAAAATCTTTGGATGAAAAAGCAGACTGGCTTTGTCGTGTATGGCAATTCATCAGCAGAGTTATCTCCTATTCGGGAATTTGGTTTGTGGTGGCCATGATGGTTGACCGCTTCGTTGTTATATGGCATCCCAAACAATTCTCTTCCCTGTGCACAATCTTCATGGCCAAATTTGTAGCCATTATCATTTTTGTTGGTTTAGTGGTCATAAGCATTCATGCCATGTGGACTTTTGAACTCATGCACAACTCTGGTTGTTATCCTTACCACCGAGAAAATGACATCCATTCCTTGATCTGGCCGTGGGTGGCCGCAAGCTTCTACTCCTATATTCCACTAGCACTGATCTTCATCTTCAATGTGTTGATTTTCACTGGAATTTGCTTGAAAAGACCTTTTAAGGCTCATCAGACACGGGAGCATCACTCCTTGCTTTTTACATATACAACACTGGGCACCTCCATGTTTTACTTTCTTCTTGTGATGCCTGCGACCATTATCAATGTTGTGGACATGACATACCCACCATCATGGCTACATGACTATGAACTCATGATACAACTGACAAAGGCCCGTTTTACTGCTCACTACATGGCTTGGCTCAACACGACCATCATCTTTTTCATGTGTTTATTTTTCTCGCGGACATTTCGTTTGGAATTGTGGGATATGCTGTGCTCAGTTTGTTGTAGACATCGCCGAAGAATATATGAACTTCAGTCTGGGTCCCAAAGTACCCATCTTAATGAAACAGACTCTTGTAATGAAACAACACCTCTTTAGCAAGTTGTAAGTAACTAAAAGGAATCTTAAAGTAAGCTTATGGTAAAAATATTTTCAAATTATGTGAAAGTTTACTTTTTATATTTTTGAGCTTTTGTTTTTGTTGATTTATTACCCAACTTCATTGATTGTTGATGTGAAACTTACAACCAATGAATAAACAATATTTTCTAAGTGATGCCGACTGCTTTATTTTGTCCAAATTACTTTAAAATACTTCCTGAGATTTAAAATAACAATTCTTAAAATATCTGGGGTTTTTTCATGTTTTCATGAACACAATGAGCCTATATATAGCCTCCTTCCTTGATGCTGATTCACTAACCATTCAACAAATAACAATGTCAGTGTCAATTTTACCGACTTAATCTTGTAAGATGATACAGAATCTGTATATCTACTTGACTTGTGAAGATGTCATATCTTATGACATATCCTGCAAATAATGTATAAAAAAAAAATCAGGTGTGCAATAGACAGGATGTCTATTTTAGGCTTATAGAACTTTATTTGCAATTTACTAATAATTTGTAACAAAATTCCCTTCAACAACCAAGCTGTTGGGCAATAGCAGACACCTGTGACCATATAATCTATTTACATAATAATATTATCAAACTAAGTTCCAAATGAAAATTTTTATACAATAATTTGAAAAATGATGAATTTCAGACCCAATCCAAAAATTAAATTCTACTCACATGCTATATTTTATTTTAGAAAATCTTGATTCAAGGCCATTGATTAACAATATAGAATTCATGACTGAAACACAGAATCAATATATCATTTATATTTATATATTTGCCATTAACAGCACATCATTAGCCCAACAATCCCTTATCAAATGCATATAATTAGGATTGAAAGAGCCCTTTGTGACATTTCCATGATTAATTTTCCTGCATGAAAAAAATTCTGTTATTTACAGTGCTATAACTTTATCTGATAAACTACTTCCACAGGGGTCTTTTCATTAAGTCAATTATTCTGCATGAGTGTGTTAGCAAATCCTGGAAAAAATCTGATTTTCAAGAGAGAAATTTCCATTAAATATGAAATATAATGGTAGTCAAGACTGTATTAATTCCATTGAAAATCTTGAAAACAGCTCAAATTCAAACCTTAAGGTTAAGAGCAATATTATTTTTCTTTTTTTAAATTCAAATCAATTTGTACTGTAATTAAATTACAGAACTGCCAAAAACAAGTAAAACATTAGAGTACAAAGAGAGACTATACTATTTTTGAATATGGAGTAGATTTGCTCTTGGGGGCAATTGATAAAATTTTGAACTTTATCATTCAGCAGTATTCAATTAGGCTCAATGGCTATCTGTCATCAGACAAGCAAAAGTAAAATTTTGCTTGCCCTCAAACACTGACCCCCCACAAACTAAAATGATTCCAAAGTAATTTTAACATCAGACTGATCATAGCATGTCTATTTATAATGTGTTTTTTTCTCCATTTTGTAATTTAGTTACCGAGTGCTGGTTTCTAGGATTTTATGAAATCCAAATAAAGCAAAACAAAAACTATACATATGGGTAACATACCCAGCAGCTTTTAAGAACTACTCTTAGGTAGCCATGAATTAAATCATTATTCAACAACTATAATCAAAAGCATTATAATATTCTACATGATACAATTTCAAAAATTATCTGACAATCCAAGGGTGTCAAGAAGACAACTGAATCAGGAAGTTGATGCTAGCACGAAAATCAAAACACTAAAGAAACCAGCTCACAGTGAGTTCCGTGTATTTTCTTTACGATAAAGGCATATGGGTAATTAAAGTTCACTTCCATGACTTTTATCTTGAAGCAAGGAAAATTTTTTTACCAATTAAATTTTCAGAAAGATTCAATAGTAAGTTCATCAATATAGGTCATTTATTAAACCACTAACAATACACATTATTTGCAGCATCTTTACCAAGGATTATCTCTCATTAAATGCATCATCCATGCAAGTTTGGTCCAGACTGTATGGCACACAGTAACTTGGGAATGGATCTGGTCTCAAATTGTCATCTGACCACTGATCAAAAAAAACAAAACAAAAACAAAACAAGTACATATTCAAAGAAAGTCTATTGATGTTTGCATCCTTACAAACATTGACACTGGATCAAGTTAGGTTTTAGCAGTGTTTTAAAATTACTTAGGAAGGGCCCTGCTCCAAAACCTCTTTCATCATCCTGAAAAAGTAGGTAACATGCAACATCCAAAGCAGGTCTGGTGCTTCCCTAGATACATCATTCATGCATGACTAGTCAGGATAGGACTTGACTTGATAATGTACATTAATTTACTTGATAATGGATCTGCTGCAAAAGCTTAACCTACTCACTCATTTTGAAAATACAAGTCACATGCAGCAACCAAAGGTTGTTGTAATTGATGACTTCTGTGAGTGCTAACTTCTTTATACTAAAGATCAAAGAGTGTCTTTGAAACAAGCCAATCATATTAAAGAGAACTTTCTCTACATAAAAAATAACCTATAGGATTTTTCCTAAGAATCTGCCAAGTAAAACATTTTACATAAAATTCTACCTACAAGATAGTAAAAGAAAAACAAGAATAAAGAATGCCAAAGACTACTCACTATTCATCACCACTTGTTTAAAGACAAATGATTTTTATTGTCTAATAATAGTACTAAACCTATAAACATTGAACAGAAACTATGCACAAGGTATTTCATTTGTTTACAAACTTACGTCAAACCAAGACAAAAATCCTGAAGAAAATTTCACAGCAACATATTTCACATGTTCTGAAGAGCACAGCTATTATTTCATAGTGTCTATAAGAAACAAGAGTTGACTTCAAAGACTGTGGAAGAAATTTGGTCAAGAGAAGAAGTAAACTTGAGCAAATTCAACGAGTGGCATAATGAATGAATAAAGGAATTAGCCCATTGTGCATAATAAAATTTTTCCTCTTAAACCATGTATCAGAGATTTCAGTAATAATAGTCATAAAGACCCCCCCCCCCCCCCCCTTCAAAAACACACACACACACACACGCAAAACTGTGATTCAATATTATTATGCCATTTTAAACTGTAGATCACCTCATGAGAAACTCAGGTCTCATGTCTCTATAAATGTGGGTTCCAGAAGTGTCATTCTTTTCCAAGATGTTACTTCGGTGAAACACTTGACAAGAATCATGAGATTCTGCATGTGGTGTTGACAGACTAATCTAAATACATGAGTTCTGAGGAATACAAATTCTGAAAAAATCAATTTATTGCTGTAAAAGCTTCAGCATAAACAAATCAAATGAATTTAGGACCATTTCATGATCTGTTTTCTAATGTCTTTCTGTAGCAAGATTTTTAATTTAATACTACATGAATAAAAATTATAGACAAGTGAAGGAAAAACTGATTTCTTATGCATGGGAAAAATGGAAATGTCTTGAGGTTTGTTCATTGTCCTCACAATAGTTAAAATAGTGATAAATACACTAAACCTCTTCCAGCACTGTCTATTGTATATTCATTTGTTCTTATTTATGATTTTCAAAACTTGTAACTGATAAACTGAAATAGCATTGGTCTCTGATGAGACTGTAGCTTTACTGGTTTGTAATTTTATCAGTAACACTTTTTTCAGATTAACATTTACAGAATTATATATCCTGATGATATCTTTACTACTTCAAGTAAGATCCTAGGTTAATGTCCCTGCGCTCCTCAAATACCTCAGACTCTTACATCCGAAGGCCATATTCTAACAAGCTCGTTCCACCTGAGATTTTGGGGAGAACATCTTATGCATGAAATAAACTGTAAACAAGTTATTCTCAGGTACCTATGTGTTTGCATTGGGTATAAAAATCACAAGAAATCATAAAATCCACTTTATTCAGTATGCATCATTGTTCAATAATCAAAATCGTCATTATTTCATTTTGTCACCAGAATTACTTTCGATTTGACTTCATGTTAATTTTGCGGATTGCTAGCCAGAAAACGAAAATTTCAGTTATCTCATAGTGGAAAACTAGTTTCTTTTCATAAGATTTTCTGCCTTCCATTCCCAAATTTCAAACAGACAATTTGTTTTAATTTCTGTTTCGATTTTAAAAATTATAATGGATTTATTGCTAATTTATTTACATTGTTTTAAATGTACTAAGTTTCATCGCAAATAGTGAAAAATTTATTGTTTCTTGTCATTCATTAATGTTTAAAGCCTGAATTTTAAACAATTTATTTAACTTCCAACTTGGGTTTCAGCGGGGAGAATTTTTACAATGGGGGCTGGAGGTTACGCGGTGCCAAGTCAAAAGTATCTTGCTGTGAACTTCTAGCAGGCAAGAGTAATCTTAACTTGTACTGAGTTTTGTTGTAACCAACCAAGAAAAAGGATAAAATTAAGAAATTTCTAATGCATACCTTTGACGTTCATACAGTCAGTAATCCCTAAAGATATATTCCTTTTTTGATGAGCAAAACGTCACTTTTTCTGTCCCAAACTATTATATAGCTGATCTTTTTTTATGGATAATGAAAATCTGTTGTTTATTAATATATATGTAACAGGAAGGGAGAAAATGTGATGGACCAGACCAGAATTCCAATCCAAGCCCCCTGAAATCTACACGGGTACTCTACTAAGCTATCTGGCCAATTGCGGGGGGAGAAAGACCAAACCAGGATTTGAGCTCGAATCCCTTCACCTCCAGAGAGCTACTCTACAAACAGAGCTACCTGACAACTGTAAATATTATTGCTTCCAAAAAAAAAATAAATATGAGATTCATAGCAATTGGCATATATTATTTATGTAAAAATACAAGACGTCAAGCAGAATTTAATTTTACATAAGGAACATGTGGAAGGCATCAAATGAATACACTTTTCCCCTAATATTTTTCATAACAGCATAGTGATGGATATGCCTATTGGAATGCTTGCAGGATTTGAAAATACAACCTAATAAATCAATATGTGAAAGGTGTTTCATACAAATTTATCTGGTATCAGTTATCATGTACAAACTGAATTTGTTGACCAAGGTACTTTTTGATGTTGTTGCTAATTCTGCATAATGCAAAATTTCATTCAGAAATCAGAATGGTATTCTTAATACAAATTGATCTTTTTCTTGATCATATTTTGTGAATAGAAA